GCCATTTATTCATTATAATACTTTGCAGATAATAAAGTAGAAAAAGATTTAGCAACATGGGAAAATGTCCATCATGGGTTGAATCTAAAATGCAGATAACAAACTTGTTAGTATATACAGTAGTATGATCTTATTTTTGCCCATCATAAAATATGCTGGGAAGACAAAAAACGAGATGCATCTGAATACTAGGATTACTGGTGATTTTTCTTTTCATGTCTTAAAGTCTATTTTTTTTAATTGGAAAAAATGGTGCGCATAAAGAGACACAAACGTAAAAGTGTATTAATTAATTAATATCAAGAGTAAGGCCGGGGGCAGTTGCTCACGCCTGTAATCCCAGCACTTTAGGAAGCAAAGGAGAGCAGATCTCTTGAGGTCAGGAGTTCGAGATCAGCTTGGCCAACACGGTGAAACTCCATCTCTGCTAAAAATACAAAAATTAGCCAGGCATGGTGTCACACGCCTGTAGTCCCAGCTACTCAGGAGGCTGAGGCAGGAGAATCGCTTGAACTCGGGAGGTGTAGGCTGCAGTGAGCAGAGATAGCACTACTGCACTCCAGCCTAGGCAACAGAGTGAGACTCCGTCCCAGAAAAATACATATATATTATCAAAAATAAAAACATGGGTGTCTCCTGACCCAATCTCCCACTTCTTGGAATCAATTCTAGTGGACAAATCAGAGAAGTGGGATCAAACTGTCTGGGCACTGATGCTCACCAGGGGTGTTGCTGACATTGGGAATAAGAGAAATCTGGAGATAAGTAATATGTGAAGCAATATGGATGCTTAAGTAAATTTCATTATTCCAGGGGATACAGCATATTATTCAGCCATTTACAGTGAAGTCTTCAAAAGCATTTTAATCCAGGAAATTGTCACTGTTAAGTTGGAAAAGGATGCAAAGGAATGTACAAATATGGATGTTGTTTTATATATGTGTGTGTGTCTCCTTGTGTGTGTTTGTGTGTGTGTGTGTTTGTGTGCATGGGTGTATACCCAAAAAGAAGTGAAAGCCAGGACTCAAAGACATATTTCTACACCCATGTTCATAGCAACATTATTTACAGTAACCAGAGGTGGAAGCAATCACAGGCAATGAAAGCCAAACGTGGTCTCTACTGACACCAGAAATATTTCTATCCATAGTCTCAAAAGGAAGGAAGTTCTGACACAGACCACCACAAAAATGGACCTCAAAGACATTACACTGAGTGAAAGAAACCAGTCACAAAAGGACAAATGCTGTCTTGCTCCCCATACAGGAGGTACCTGTAATAGAGAGTCAAATTCCTAGACAGAAAGTAGGTGGTGGTTGCCAGGGGCTGGTGGGAAGTAATGGGGAGTTCGTCTTTCATGGGGACAGAGTTTCATTTGGGGAAGATAAAAAGTTCTGGAGCTGGACAGTGATGACAGTTACTCAACAATTACATGTACTTACTGCCACTAAATTGTATACTTAAATGGCTAAGATGGTAAATTTTATGTTACATATACTTTACCACAATAAAAATAAAAACACAATAAAGAAGAAACGAACCTCCACTACCCAGTGACGTGGTCTCCACGTGAACCGGTGGCTTGAGGGGAGGGCAGTCAGCTCACCCGTCCAGCAGGGCTGACATGGACATAGCTCCTCTCAGTAATCTGGCCTGGCTCTTCAGCACTGGGCTTTGGTCCAGGCAGCTGGGAGTTCTCATCAACACTGTAGCCATGGTTTCCAGTTCTGAGGCCTTCCCTCAACGTTCCGTTCTGTCCCCACATTCCGCTGGTCATCCTGTTCCTCCACATCTCAGTCCTAGGTCCTGAGGTCACTGCAGCTGTCATCCTTTGGTTGCTTCTTTTGCTTCATCATGTAGCCTCTTTTGCTCTGCCAGCCTTTGGAGGGTGGGCATGTTTGCTAATGTCCACTTCTAACACCTGCATGGTCTCCTAATTTCTCTCTCCCCATCAGCCCTAGAGCTGGTGTCTAACCCATATCACCCGCAGGTAATGCCTTTTTTTTTTTTTAAGCTGTAGCAATATATAAGTACAAGTGTTAGCAGAAGTGGCATCCACCAGGATGAGATTTAGTTGTTAAGGACCACTGGCAACCCATGCATTAGGAAAGACACCATTTATTTTCTTTTTCATTTTATTTCCTTATTGTATTTTATATATATATATATATATATATATATATATATATATATATATATAATTGCACTTTAGGTTCTGGGGTACATGTGCAGAACATGCAGGATTGTTGCATAGGTACATACATGGCAATGTGGTTTGCTGCCTCCATCCCCCCGTCACCTATATCTGGCATTTCTCCCCGTTATCCCTCCCCCACCTCCCTACCCCACGCTGTCCCTCTCCTACTCCCCTGCAACAGACCTCAGTGGGTGATGCTCCCCTCCCTGTGTCCATGTGTTCTCACTGTTCAACACCTGCCTATGAGTGAGAACATGCGCTGTTTGTTGTTCTGTTCTTGTGTCAGTTTGCTGAGAATGATGGTTTCGAGATTCATCCATGTCCCTACAAAGGACACGAACTCCATGGTGTCTATGTGCCACATTTTCCTTGTCCAGTCTATCATCAATGGGCATTTAGGTTGGTTCCAGGTCTTTGCTACTGTAAACACTGCCACAATGAACATACATGTGCATGTGTCTTTATAATAGAATGATTTATAATCCTTATGATATATACCCAGTAATGGGATTGCTGGGTCAAATGGAATTTCTATTTCCAGGTCCTTGAGGAATCGCCACACTGTCTTCCTCAATGGTTGAACTAATTTACATTCCCACCAACAGTGTAAACGTGTTTCTATTTCTCCACATCCTCTCCAACATCTGTTGTCTCCAGATTTTTTAATGATCGCCATTCTGACGTGAAATGGTATCTCAATGTGGTTTTGATTTGCATTTCTCTAACGACCAGTGATGATGAGCATTTTTTCATATGTTTGTTGGCCTCATAAATGTCTTGTTTTGAAAAGTGTCTGTACATGTCCTTCACCCTTTTGAATGGATTTGCTTTTTTCTTGTAAATCTGTTTTAATTTTTTGTAGATTCTGGATATTAGCCCTTTGTCAGATGGGTAGATTGCAAAAATTTTTTCTCATTCTGTTGGTTGCCAGTTCACTCTAATGATTGTTTCTTTTACTGTACAGAAGCTCTTAAGTTTAATTAGATCCCATTTGTCTATTTTGCAAACACCTGTGCAACCCATGCCCCTGTCCATTTGCAGAACATGAACTTCACCCCAAGTACCCTGTGCCTACCCCCACCCTCTGGAGACAACTATGACTTTGATGTTTTCTACCACGGACAGCTTGGCCAATTCTAGAACCTCACACAAACAGAGTCCTACAGCAGGCACTCCTCTTACCTCAGCCATATCCCACTTGGCGCAGTGTTTCTTAGATGCATTCTTTAATTTTGTGTGTTTCAGTAATCCATGCCTTTGTATTTCTGAGCAGTATTTTATTGTACATAGCAGACCGTCATTATTTATTCTGTTGATAAACATCAGAGCTGTTTCTAATTTTTGACTGTTAGAACATATTAGATCGAATCACAGAACCTGCTCTACTTTACAGCCCAAAGCTTAACAAGACCTTAAACATATAAATTAAGATCTGACCATCATAAGGCCAGGAGTGGTGGTTCACGCCCGTAATCCCAGAACTTTGGGAGGCTGAGGTGGATGGATCACTTGAGGTCAGGAGTTCGAGACCAGCCTGGCCAGCATGGTGAAACCCTGTCTCTACTAAAAATACAAAAATTAGCTGAGCATGGTGGCACACACTTGTAATCCTAGCTACTCAGGAGACTGAGGCACGTGAATTACTTGAACTCGGGAGGTGGAGGTTGCAGTGAGCAGAGACTGCACCACGGCACTCCAGCCTGAGTGACATAGCAAGATGCTGTCTCTGCAAAAATAAAAAGTTAGCCAGGTGTGGTGGAGTGTACCTGTAGTCCCAGCTACTTGGGAGGCTGAGATGGGAGGATCACTTCAGCCCTGGTGTTGGAGGCTGCGGTGAGTCAGGACTGCACCATGGCACTCCAGTCTGGGCAACAGAGGAAGACTGCATCTTTTTTTCTTTTTTTAAAGTGTCTTCCCATAACCCTGACTGCCTAACCTTCAGGTCCCACAAATCTGTTTCCTAACAGAAACATCTGTAATCCTACCAATTTACAGAAATGAACCATATCTCTTGGGTGGTTCTGGTGGGCAGATCTGATGACAGGGACAGTGTTTCCTCCAGGTTCACAGCAGAATGATGAGAGCCATATTCATAGCTTATACAGCCCTGCTGTGAATCAAACATGGTGTCTAAGCACAGGAACACGTATCAACTCACTTGAGCTCACAGCAGCCCACCTCCAATTACAAGGGAAGAAGCTGGGGCTCACAGAGACTGGGTCACTTGCTGTGGCAACACAACTAGGAAGTGACAGAGGTGGATCTGCTCCACGCAGCTTGGCTTCATGGTCCCAGCTGCTTTGGTGCCACCCCATATCAGTAGACACTATGGGGCGGGTGAGAGGGAGCCCATGGACAGCCCCAATTCTTCACCTCTCCCTGTGTCCACACTGTGCCAAGTGAATTTATGGTTCCTCCACTAAAGAGGTGGAGCCCGTCCCACACCCTTTGATGCCAGGGTTGGCCAGATGTGCTTTGCCAGAAGGTTAGCAGGTGTGACAGGACAAAGCCAGGAGAAGCCCCTTGGTGACAGGGCGTGTTGTCTTGTGTCCCTGCCATGGACACATCCAGCCACACTGCTGGTCCCACAAGGAAGAGGAGAGGCACACAGCACAGAGCCCAGCCCAAATCAGCTCATCTATAAACTCATGAGTTAAGCCAATACTTCGTTCCACTGAACACTGCTGACATTTTATAGTTGTTTGTCACACAGCATGACTGGGACACCAGCTAACTGATGTGACCTGGTCCCTGACTGTTTCCTTACTACAACCGACTAGTGTAAATAAATTGCACACTTATCATCAATCCCATGGTTTACTCAGATGGCTTAAGAATCTGACATACGGTGAGGATTTTTTTTTTTTTTTTTTTAACAAAAGCTATAAGGTAGGTAAACAAAGACATGCTCCATTCACTTGAAGAGACACTATTTATTTTGTTACAGTCAAGCAGGATGATCTGTTGATAGGTGAGTGGTAAGTGTCAAGCACGAAATCTACACACATTTGCTGCAGTGGACTGAAGGATACAAGCCACAGGCCACACCCCATAGGCAGAACCCTCCACAGCCTCACTACGACAGGGTGAGGGAGCAGCTGTCACCTAAGAACACCAGGGCCAACCATTAGCACCAGATTGCTTTTCTATGAATAATAACAACTAGATACAGAGTTATGGACACTAACTCACTAGAATCTTTGGGTCCCCACTAACCAGACATTTCAGAGGCAAACAGGGGAACTGACAGGACAGCTGTGACTCTATGCAATTTGCTACAAGGATGCTCAAGCACTATGTATTGCTATGTAGAAGAGAAAGTCCTAAAGACATCAAAAGGCCGGGTACAGACACACAAATTGGATTATTCACATTTTACACACATCATCGAAATAACCACAATACTGTATTTGAGGGCAAAGAATAACAGGTAAAAGCTCTATCAAACAAAATGCTCTGAAATTCCTTGGGTTGTCTCCCTGGGCGAGAAAGATGAGGATAAGTGCACAGCCAGTTTCACCTTTTCAGACGTGACCAACATTCACAGCAAGTGACTACCAGCTGGAGAGGAGAAAGAAGCTTCACTGGCAAAACAGGGATTTTCCAAGTTAGCAAGAGCTTAATTTAACAGAAATACACACTTTTGGAAGGGCATTTATCCTTTTGGCATCGGTAGGCTGCCAAAAAGGTGGTTTATTGCCTGCATCATTGAGCTTGCCAGTTTGGACGTGGCTCTATGGAATGCATTACCGTCATTGTGGCCCCTCTGGCTCAGGACATGTGGATTACAGTCTTTTAAGACATCTATGTGTGTGCATCTGTGCACGCACACACATGTGTGCTTTGGTAAGGCTGTGGTCACTGCTGCTGACAAAATGAAATCTCTATTCCACTGGAAAACTTCTTTTATGGGAATAAAATGATCATTGATCCAACAAATGCCCTAATACAACCTAAACGTGAAGTCACCCAAGGGATTCACTCAGAATTAACATGCATTTAATTAGATAAACATTTTTTGAGGAAATACACTGAATCTATATTAGATAAAAATAAGTAAATTATAAATTATAACCAAGCCATTGGCGGCTGAACGTCTTTTTGTGTGCTTGTTTGCCACGTGTGTATGCTCTTTGGTGAAGCGTCTCAAGTCTTTTGCCTGCTTTTTACTTGAGCTGTTTGTTTTTTTACTATCCAGTTTGAGAGTTCTTTGTACATCCTGGACACAAACCTTTTGTCAGATACACAATTTGCAAATATTTTCTCCCAGTCTGTGACTTGTCAATTGGAAATTGACAGCATGTCAGTGTTTTCTTTTAATAAACCAGGCGCTCTTTAGAATCCTGCCACTTCAATCAAGAAAATGGGCACAGAATCTTTAAATTTCATGGCAGAAAAAGACCAAGCTCAGGAGTTGTGCAGTCCACAGGACCTCTGAAGAGCCAGAGGAAGGGTCTTCCTGTACATGGAATGTGGCCCTCATGCCATGCTAAACTATTTAAGGAGGAAGAAATGGAAACGTAGCCAATTATCACGGACAACCATATGCATACAAAAAACATGGCGGGAAAGTAACTTTAAAAATATTCTGTTGGTCTTGAGAAACAGCTAACAAGCACATTATTACTGGACACACTCTTAACCAAAAAGTTTTACTTTGCAGAAAAACTGTGATGATGGGTGAGACGGACTAAAGCTATTTGCCTGCTTGGTGTGTGAGTGTGTTTTAAAGCATGCATATTATTTAAGTGGCAATTTAATCTTAGAATTAGTGAATCCAACAATGCAGGCTGTTCATTTCACAGTTGGTTTTTAACCATTAGGAAACTATTCACCTTTCCAAAAAGCTAATAAATTATCATCATCATCACCACCACGATTTATGCTGGGTCAGAGAACATCATTAGATAACAGACAAATGCTCATGCTGTTGAATGAGCAGGGACAAAACCTGGCCACCCATGCCTGGATGAATCACAAGAGAAGATGCGCACCAGGGTCTCCCCTCTCATGCACATCATGACGCACTGGCTGCTGTCCAAGCAGTTGGCTAAGCATCTGAAGACGGGAGGAACAACGGGTCTCCCACTGACAGTAACCACTCGGCATGCACCATGGGCCCAGCCCATAGCCCGTGCAGTGGAAATTCACCATTTGGCAGAGCCTAGCATCACGTGTAGTTATATGTAAAGGAAAACAGCTCTCAGCAATCAAAAGGGAAACTAAAAAATTAAATAAATCATCCCACACAAACACAAAAGTTATTGCTTTTCTAACAGCCCTTTTGCTATGGGAGGAGTCTCTCTCCAGGGCACCAACATGGGTGGGGTCTTCACGAGGATCCTTGGGAATGGAGCTGGAGCTTGGAGGCCCCATGTCCTTCCTCTACTGGGGACCGAGCTCTTATTTGCCCCTTTCGGGCTGAAGGCTGTCAAATAAGCACTTCAGCTGCTCTTCACCAAGGTGGATTTTATCTTCCAGCTCCCGCTGCTCGATGATGAGGGCTGACTTCATCTTCACGAAGTGCTCATAGTCCGCGAGGCTCTCCTCACTCAGATAGTTGGCCAAAATGTCAAAGACGATGCGCTCGCGGCGGTCCAGGTTCTCCTTGAGCTCCTTGGCATCCTCATGCTGCTGGACCAGGACTCTCTGCTTCTCAAGCAGTGATTGCTGTTGACAGACAAACAAGCCCATTGAGGACCAGCACGAAAGCCAGGGCACTGGTCAACCCTTGAAGACACTGGCAACTTGTGGGGGGTGTCCCACAACTTATTGATGAAAACCCTGATGCCACCAGAGATTTGATGGGATCCACACAGACAAACCCAGGGCCTGGGGCACATGTCTCATGGCTGCAGCGGGCTCCAGCCTGAGGCCCCCAGAAGCTGCCCACGGGCCTCTCTGGGTTTCCTCCTGCTGTGTGAGCCTGACTCTCTCCCACCTGTCTTGAATGGTGAGCAGAAGTCACCAAGGGACTCACAACAACAGAATTCTGAGATGCTGCAAAGGGCAAAGGACTGTGGGACCCTCCTGGCGTCAAGGTGCGCTCCATGGCAGCACTGTGAGACAGCTGGCCACGTGGGAAGACGCGAGAGAAATTCAGGGCAGGCTTGCTAAACCCTCCTGGCAGGAGGAGGAGGAGCCCTTGAGCCTGCAGAGAGTGTCTGCACATGAGGAAGGCTGAGGGCAGAGAAGACGCAGGGATGTGCACGGGTGTTGGCCAGAGGCCCCCTCGGGCACGATGCCACCCTGACCTAGCTAGTTCCATGACAGTTACTAAGCACTCGGCTGAGTACAGAAGGGCACCGTCTCCAAGCCCAGCGCCAGGACAGTGAACTGTGCTCACCTGGAGAAATCACCCTCACCTGGAGACAGGGGAGGGGTGCTGCTTCTGCTCCCCTTCTGAGAGTGGTTGTTTTATTCATGATACAGACGAACACACTGAAGGGCTGCTCTGTGCAAACAAAACTAGCCGTTTTACTGATATTTGGCCTATGAGGTAAAAGCCAACAAGGCAGCTATTATTTCTCTTGGTTCATATGTAAAAAGACGAAAGACAGATCCACTGAGAAACGCCTTGAGAACTGCACGCCTCCGGAGCAGGAGAAAAGCGAGGTGCACTATCTCGTTCCTTCTAGACTGATATATGCCCTCTTGTTAAATCACAACTACAACCACCACAAAAAAATATCTATCATTGAGTACTTATGATTGTCAGGAGGCAGGTATGTCTGCTATGGACTTACAGGTGGTCAAAGAAAAGTTAAAAACAAACACGTGATTTTCTAGGAAGACACGATTATCAGTAAGAGTCAGGTGTCAATAGGAATATCTGAAAAAATGTCAAGAAGAGGTGACAGTTCTTTGGGAAGATCTTGCAACCCTGCAGCCCAACGATGGTTCAACTCCCTGCATCTGATGAGCACCCCTCCCCCCCCCTCGCCCCCGCCACACACAATTAAAAGGAAGGAGGTCGGCGTGGTGGCTCACACCTGTAATCCCAGCACTTTGAGAGGCTGAGGCAGGCAGATCACTTGAGCTCAGGAGTTCCAGACCAGCCTGGCCAAAATGGTGAAACCCATCTCTACCAAAAAAAAAAATACAAAAATTAGCCAGGCATGGCGGCAAGCACCTGTGAGCTCAGCTACTCGGGAAGCTGAGGTGGGAGAATCGCTTGAACCTAGGGAGGCAGAGGCTGCAGTGAACCGAGATCGCACCACTGCACTCTAGCATGGGCAACAGAATGAAACCCTACCACTCACAAACTAACAAACAACTAAATACATGTAAAAGGAAGGAGAAGAAATAGAGCATGCACTGCTTCGACAAGGTATGCAGGAGGAGGTGGACAGGCCACGTGGAAGCTATGCTAGGCTCCAAGGAGCTTTCATGACACTCGAAAACCAGCCTTCCCACGAGACCACCCCCCAATTTCCAAATCAGACTCATCTACATTTACCCGATCGCCAGGAGAAGCGTTGTCGTCCAAATTATTGAGGGCATTCTCCACCCGGGCCAGGCGGCCTGACAGTGACAGCAGGAGGTTCACCACTTTGTCCAGGTCCCCAATGAACATCCGGAACTTGTCAAACTCACTGGGCTTGCAGACGCCTTTCACGACGGCCTCCACCTCGGCCCCCAGCACGGTGTTGGCCTGCACGTCCTCCAGCAGGCTCTCGCGCGCTTCCCGGAGCACCTGCAGCTTGCGGCTGATGCTCTCGATGAGCTCCTGCTGTTGGGCACGGGATGGCAGGGGAACATGAAGACACTGGTTAGGCCGGCCCCACCCCGGCCATGCTGCTCACTGCCGCCTTGGTGCACCTGCGCCAAAGGTGCAGCCGACCTGTGTGAAAGCTCACTTTTGCATCATCAAATAATAGGAGATTTAAATGACTATGGGAAAGGAGAATGATTCCTGATGACATTATTGGCATTTAAAAATAAAACAAACCTGTTCTCGTTCTGTTCATGCCCTATTAGACAACATCAGAGTTGTGGCCCCGATGTTCCTCATGGTAGATGCAGTTTCAACCCATATCTTTGGAAGGAGTCACAGACCTATGTATTCTGTCCTTTGCAATTCCAATTTAAAGACTCACATAGAAACTATCGAGTCTTATGTCCAGCACTGAATTCCGTGATTAAGTGCTCTGTACATATAATTATTGTCACTAGCAATTATTTTTATTTATTTTGTTTTTATTTTTTGAGACAGGGTCTTGCTCTGTTGCTCAGGCTGGAGTGCAATGGCTCGATCTCAGATCACTGCAACTCCCTCCACCCAGCTTCAAGTGATTCTCATGCCTCAGCCTCCCAAGTAACTGGGATAACAGGCCCACACCACCACACCTGGCTAATTTTTGTAATTTTAGTAGAGACGGGGTTTCACCACGTTGGCCAGGCTAGTATTGAACTCCTGACCTCAGGTGATCTGCCCACCTTGGCCTCCCAAAGTGCCGGGATTACAGGCGTGAGCCACCGCACCTGGCCTAGCAATTAAAAGTTAAGACCGGCCGGGCGCGGTGGCTCAAGCCTGTAATCCCAGCACTTTGGGAGGCCGAGGCGGGTGGATCACGAGGTCAAGAGATCGAGACCATCCTGGTCAACATGGGGAAACCCCGTCTCTACTAAAAATACAAAAAAAAAAAGTAGCTGGGCATGGTGGCGCGTGCCTGTAATCCCAGCTACTCAGGAGGCTGAGGCAGGAGAATTGCCTGAACCCAGGAGACGGAGGTTGCAGTGAGCCGAGATCGCGCCATTGCACTCCAGCCTGGGTAACAAGAGTGAAACTCCGTATAAAAACAAACAAACAGGGAATGCTGGGAAGATGGCCGCCTAAGAACAGCTCAGGACTTCAGCTCCCAGTGAAAGTGCAGAGGGTGAGTGAACGCCGCATTTACAGACGAACTCTTATTGCCCACAGACCAGGAGATACCCAGGCAGAGGGGTCGCCAGTGTCGCAGTCCCAGCCGGTGTGGCTGTTTTGGCCCCTGTGGGGCTGATTCCGCCCGCGCGGCTGCTGTGACCACGCCCTGTTGCTGCGGTTCTCCGTACAAAAGCCACTGGTCTGGGAGCCCTCTTAGCTGGCGAGCAGAGCCCTGAGACGGCAGAGTTGCCCATTCATCTGAAATAGCGAGTCAGGCCAGGAGATTCCTAGGCAAAAAATCCGCCAGGAGCCGGCGCCGCAGTTCGAGCCCACTCAGTGAGTCGCAGCACGGGAGATCCCGGCGCCTTTTCAACAAGCGACCGGAACGCGGGGTCGTTCAACTTAAAAGAAAAGACTCTGAGTCAGGGAGCCAGGTGATCAGGCTCGGTTGGTCCCACCCCTCCACCCCCAACAACAACGAAAACAAAAACAGTAATTGGAAACCCTCTGGGTTGAGCCCTTCACAAACCAAGCACAGCTGAACCAGGACGGTCCGGCTCCGTGGGGGAGGGGCTTCCGCCATTACTGAGACTCTCCACCTCTACGGAGGCAGGCTGCCGTTGCCGAGGCAACCTCCCACAACAGAGAGAGTCCGCCATAACAGAGGCGGGGCCACCGTTGCCCAGACAGTTCTAACTACGCCCATATAAAAAGGACTACAGGGAAGAGCCCAGGGCAGCTGGGCGGAGCCCACAGCAGCTCAGCAAAGCCCCTGCGGGCAGGCAGTGGCTAGGCCTGCTGCTAGCTGGGCGGGTCAGACCTGAAAGAAAAATCAAAAAAGGCAGTAGTGCAACGGAAACTCATAAAGCTCCAACTCCCTGGGACAGAGACAGACAACAGGTGGATAAACCCACAAAAATGGGAAGAAACCAGCGCAAAAAGGATGAAAACTCCCGAAACCAGAACACCTCTCCTCCTAAAAGGGACCACAACTCCTCACCAGCAAGGGAACCAGACTGGATGGAGAAGGAGAGTGATGAAATGACAGAATCAGACTTCAGAAGGTGGGTAGTAAGAAACTACAGCGAGCTAAAAGAACATGTTCTAACCGCACGCAAAGACAATAGGAACCTTGAAAAAAGATTGGACGAACTGCTGACGAGAATGGACAGCATAGAGAGGAGTATAAGTGAATTGATGGAGCTGAAAAACGCAACGCGAGAACTTCGTGAAGCATGCACAAGCTTCAATAGCCGAATTGACCAAGCAGAAGAAAGGATATCAGAGGTCGAAGATCAACTCAATGAAATAAAAAGAGAAGGCAAGAACAGAGAAAAAAGCGCAAAAAGGAATGAACAAAATCTTCAAGAAATGTGGGACTATGTGAAAAGACCTAATCTACGTCTGATAGGTGTACCTGAATGTGATGAAGAGAATGAATCCAAGCTGGAAAATACTCTTCAGGATATTATCTGGGAAAACTTCCCCAACCTAGCAAGGCAGACCAATATTCAAATCCAGGAAATACAGAGACCACCACAAAGATATTCCTCAAGAAGAGCAACCCCAAGGCACATAATCGTCAGATTCGCCAGGGTTGAAATGAAAGAGAAAATGCTAAGGGCAGCCAGAGAGAAAGGTCGGGTTACCCACAAAGGGAAGCCCATTAGACTCACAGCAGATCTCTCAGCAGAAACCCTACAAGCCAGAAGAGATTGGGGGCCAATATTCAACATCCTTAAAGAAAAGAACTTTCAACCCAGAATCTCCTATCCAGCCAAACTAAGCTTCATAAGTGAAGGAAAAATAAAATCCTTTGTGAACAAGCAAGCACTCAGAGATTTCATCACCACCAAACCTGCTCTACAAGAACTCCTGAAAGAGGCTCTACACTTATAAAGGAACAACCAGTACCAGCCACTCCAAAAACACACCAAATGGTAAAAGAGCATCAACACAATCAAGAATCTGCACCAACTAACCAACAAAACAGCCAGGTAGCATCAAAATGACAGTATCAAATTCACACATAACAATACTATCCCTAAATGTCAATGGACTAAATGCCCCAATCAAAAGACACAGACTGGCAAACTGGATAAAAAGCCAAAACCCATCAGTGTGCTGTATCCAGGAAACCCATCTTACATGCAAGGATACACAAAGGCTCAAAATAAAGGGATGGAGGAAGATCTACCAAGCAAATGGAGAGCGAAAAAAGGCAGGAGTTGCAATTCTCATCTCTGATAAAATAGACTTTAAAGCAACAAAGATCAAAAGAGACAAAGAAGGACATTACATAATGGTAAAAGGATCACTGCAACAAGAAGAGCTAACGATCCTAAATATATACGCACCCAATACAGGAGCACCCAGATACATAAGGCAAGTTCTTAATGACCTACAAAGAGACTTAGACTCCCACACAATAATAGTGGGAGACTTTAACACCCCTCTGTCAATATTAGACAGATCATCCAGACAGAAAATCAACAAGCATATCCAGGACCTGAATACAGACCTGGAACAAGCAAACCTAATAGACATTTACAGAACTCTCCACCCCAAATCCACAGAATATACATTCTTCTCAGCACCACATCACACCTACTCTAAAATTGACCACATAATTGGCAGTAAATCACTCCTGAGCAAATGCAAAAGAACAGAAATCATAACAAACAGTCTCTCAGACCACAGTGCAATCGAGTTAGAACTCAGAATGCAGAAACTAACTCAGAATCACACAGCTTCATGGAAACTGAACAACTTGCTCTTGAATGTTGACTGGATAAACAATGAAATGAAGGCAGAAATAAAGATGTTCTTAGAAACCAATGAGAACGAAGACACAACATACCAGAATCTCTGGGACACATTTAAAGCAGTCTCTAGAGGAAAATATATAGCAATGAGTGCCCACATGAGAAGAAAGGAGAGGTCGAAAATTGACACCCTATCATCAAAATTGAAAGAGCTAGAGGAGCAAGATCAAAAAAACTCAAAACCTAGCAGAAGACAGGAAATATCTAAGATCAGAGCAGAACTGAAGGAAATAGAGACACAAAAAACTCTTCAAAAAAATCAATAAATCCAGGAGCTGGTTTTTTGAAAAGATCAACAAAATAGACAGATCACTAGCCAGATTAATAAAAAAGAAAAGAGAGAATAACCAAATTGATGCAATAAAAAACGATAAAGGGGATATCACCACAGATTCCACAGAAATCCAAACCATCATCAGAGATTATTACAAACAACTCTATGCACATAAATTAGTAAACCTGGAAGAAATGGATAAATTCCTGGACACCTGCACCCTCCCAAGCCTAAACCTGGAAGAAGCCGAAACCCTGAATAGACCAATAACATGGTCTGAAGTCGAGGCAGCAATAAAGAGCCTACCACCCAAAAAAAGCCCAGGTCCAGATGGGTTCACAGCCGAATTCTACCAGACATACAAAGAGGAGCTGATACCATTCCTTCTGAAACTATTCCAGACAATCCAAAAAGAGGGAATCCTTCCCAAATCATTTTACGAGACAAACATCAAAACCCGGCAGAGACTCAACAAGAAAAGAAAATTTCAGGCCAATATCCATGATGAACATAGATGCAAAAATCTTCAATAAAATACTGGCAAACCGATTGCAACAGCATATCAAAAAGCTCATCCACCATGATCAAGTAGGATTCATCCCGGGGATGCAACGCTGGTTCAACATATGCAAGTCCATAAACGTAATTCACCGCATAAACAGAACCAAAGACAAAAACCACATGATTATCTCAATTGATGCAGATAAGGCTTTTGACAAAATTCAACAACCCTTTATGCTAAAAACCCTCAATAAACTAGGTATTGA